TATGTTTATCACATGTATCACGTTTATCACATTTATCACGTTTATCACATTTATCACAATTATTATGTTTATCACATTTATCACATTTATTATGTTTATCACATTTATCACATTTATCACATTTTATCACATTTATCACGTTTATCACATTTATCATGTTTATCACATTTATCACATTTATTATGTTTATCACATTTATCACGTTTATCACATTTATCACATTTATTATGTTTATCACATTTATCACATTTATCACGTTTATAACATTTATTATGTTTATCACATTTATCACATCTATCAAATTTATTATGTTTATCACATTTATCACATTTATCACGTTTATCACATTTATTATGTTTATCACATTTATCATGTTTATCACGTTTATCACATTTATCACATTTATTGTTTATCACATTTATTATGTTTATCACATTTATTATTTTTATCACATTTATCACATTTATTACATTTGTTACATTTATTATGTTTATCACATTTATCACGTTTATAACATTTATTATGTTTATCACATTTATCACATCTATCAAATTTATTATGTTTATCACATTTATCACATTTATCACGTTTATCACATTTATTATTTTTATCACATTTATCACATTTATTACATTTGTCACATTTATCACATTTATCATTTGTTCACATTTATTATGTTTATCACATTTATTTTGTCACATTTTATTATGTTTATCACATTTATCATTTATTTTATCATTTATTATCATTTATTGTTTATCACATTTATCACGTTTATCACATTTATATTTATCACGTTTATCATCATGTTTATCACATTTATCACATTTATCACATTTATTATGTTTATCACATTTATCACATTTATCACATTTATCACATTTATCACATTTATTATGTTTATCACATTTTATCACGTTTATCAACATTTATTATGTTTATCACATTTATCACATTTATCACATTTATTATGTTTATCACATTTATCACATTTATGTTTATTTATCACATTTATTATTTATCACATTTATCATCACACATTTATCATGTTTATCACGTTTATCACATTATCACATTATCACATTATTATGTTTATCACATTTATTATCACATTTTATCACATTTATCACATTTTGTTACATTTATTATCACATTTATCACATTTATTTATCACATTTATTATGTTTATCACATTTATCACATTTATCACATTTATCACATTTATTATGTTATTTATGTTTATCACATTTATCACATTTATCACGTTTATCACATTTATTATTTTTATCACATTTATTACATTTGTCACATTTATTATGTTTATCACATTTATCACATTTGTGAGGAAGGATGTGCTTCCTAATTGAATAAATGTACTGGATAGCTAAGTGGGAACCCACAGCAGGTGATCGGTAAGAATCACTTTGATGCTTGACTTGATTGGAGGATGTTTATTGGAGGCTGTCTGTATGGGTATGTGTGTGTGTGGTTCTGAAAAGAAAAGAAATACAAACAATAATGAATAATGTAAATGTATACAATATGAACATAAAAAAACTATACAAATAACACGTAACAACTGAAAACCCTAATAAACATGGTCAAACTGACATATATCACTATATATACACATATATATGGCACTGTCAGTTTCACCAGAAAGGCAGAAAACGAATACTACTGAAAATACAAGAGCTCCATCTGGTGGTCGCAAAAATAGATAACAGGCATGGCTCCCTCTGGTGGCCACGAAGGTAAATACAATACCTGCTCGAGGCCTGCCTAGCGAGCGCGTGACAAGGCTTGCCTCGAGCCAACAACCAATTAAGAACCACGTAACGTTACGTAACTACGGAATTAGCGACAGAATACGAATACTCGGTATCGGTAAATGGAAATCAACTAAAAACGGCAAGGTAAAACACAACATTATACGTATAATGGTGAACAAGGCTAAAGGAAAAGTAGGCCCAAGCTAACAACAAAGTGTAATAAGAACAAATGATATAAAACTCACTCTCATTGACACACATTCAACAATGAACACTTACTTGCATAGAACGCACACACTTCACACAATCAGAGGACAGCAAATACAAAAAACAAGCAGGTAATAACAGCGCCACTAAACACTGCTGCTTGCATCGAACTTTTCAACCAACTAACAACTAGCTGCAGGCTGAAGAGTCCAAGGCATCTTCTGATTGGACGAGAGTCCAGGTGAAGCGAGGTGCACGGCAAGGGAGGAGAGAGAGAGTGTCAAAGTCTGTGGCCACAAGGGGGCCTTTTCTACAACATTTATCACGTTTATCACATTTGTCACATTTATCACGTTTATCACATTTATCACGTTTATCACGTTTATCACATTTATCACGTTTATCACGTTTATCACATTTATTATGTTTATCACATTTATTATGTTTATCACATTTATCACATTTATCACGTTTATCACATTTATCACGTTTATCACATTTATCACGTTTATCACATTTATCACATTTATTATGTTTATCACATTTATCACGTTTATCACATTTATCACATTTATTATGTTTATCACATTTATCACATTTATTATGTTTATCACATTTATTATTTTTATCACATTTATCACGTTTATCACATTTATCACATTTATTATGTTTATCACATTTATCACATTTATTATTTTTATCACATTTATCACATTAATTACATTTGTTACATTTATTATGTTTATCACATTTATCACATTTATCACGTTTATCACATTTATTATTTTTATCACATTTATTACATTTGTCACATTTATTATGTTTATCACATTTATCACATTTATCACGTTTATCACGTTTATCACGTTTATCACGTTTATCACGTTTATCACGTTTATCACATTTATCACGTTTATCACATTTATCACATTTATCACATTTATCACATTTATCACGTTTATCACATTTATCACATTTATTATGTTTATCACATTTATCACATTTATTATGTTTATCACATTTATCACATTTATCACGTTTATCACATTTATCACGTTTATCACATTTATCACATTTATCACGTTTATCACATTTATCACGTTTATCACATTTATCACGTTTATTATGTTTATCACATTTATCACATTTATTATGTTTATCACATTTATTATTTTTTTATCACATTTATCACGTTTATCACATTTATCACATTTCTTATGTTTATCACATTTATCATGTTTATCACATTTATCACGTTTATCACATTTATCACATTTATTATGTTTATCACATTTATCACATTTATTATGTTTATCACATTTATTATTTTTATCACATTTATTACATTTGTCACATTTATTATGTTTATCACATTTATTATGTTTATCACATTTATCACATTTATTGTTTATCACATTTATTATTTTTATCACATTTATCACATTTATTATTTTTATCACATTTATCACATTTATTACATTTGTCACATTTATTATGTTTATCACATTTATCACATTTATTATGTTTATCACATTTATCACATTTATTATGTTTATCACATTTATCACGTTTATCACATTTATCACGTTTATCACGTTTATCACATTTATCACGTGAGCAGGACTCAGGTGACCCTGTCTGGACTAAACTACTGCAGTAAAATAAACTAAAGTACTGCAGTAAAATAAACTAAAGTACTGCAGTAAAATAAACTAAAGTACTACAGTAAAATAAACTAAAGTACTGCAGTAAAATAAACTAAAGTACTGCAGTAAAATAAACTAAAGTACTGCAGTAAAATAAATTAAAGTACTACAGTAAAGTCTGTTAACATAAAATCAGATCTGTGTCTCCCTCTGCTGGTCACTGTGCGCAAATGCACCTCTGCCTAAAATAAAATAAAACCAAAACTAAACTAAATTAAAACTAAACTAAACTAAATTAAAATTAAACTAAACTAAACTAAATTAAAATTTAACTAAATAAAAACTTAATTAAATTAAAACTAAACTAAATTAAATTAAAACTAAACTAAATTCAAATTAAACTAAATTAAAACTAAACTAAATTAAATTAAACTAAACTAAACTAAATCCTTCTGGACGCCCCGGAGGAGTTGTTTGAAGTCTAATTTTAAAAGTTAATTTCTGTTTCATATTTCATGGTTTTTCCATCGTGACGTCCTGACGGTCTGAGCTCGCCTCTCCGCAGACCTGACTCGTCCTGACGGTCTGAGCTGGCCTCTCTCCAGACCTGACTCGTCCTGACGGTCTGAGCTCGCCCCTCTCCAGACCTGACTCGTCCTGACGGTCTGAGCTCGCCTCTCTCCAGACCTGACTCGTCCTGACGGTCTGAGCTCGCCTCTCTCCAGACCTGACTCGTCCTGACGGTCTGAGCTCGCCTCTCCGCAGACCTGACTCATGGAAACGTTGTTCCTTTGGCTGTAATGTTCCACAGTGGGAAACAAAACTCATCTGGAGAATGTTCCGTGGTGTGGCTTTAACCTTGTATTTCCATGGAAAGTAACAAAGTGTGGCTTTAAACAGACTCAGGTCACAGGCGACCTGGGACGACCCGGGATGACAGACATGTCAGAGGGGGCGGGGTCAGGGGGAGGAGTCGGGGGGAGGAGCCTGGGGTCAGGGGGAGGGGTCAGGGGGTCAGGGGGAGGGGCCAGGGGGAGGGGCCAGGGGGTGTTATGATTCTATTAAAGAATGTAAACACTCAGAAGGTCAAAGGTCACCATTGTAATCCCACCCTCTGATTGGTTAATCCTGCTGCTCTGTGATTGGTCGGTCCTGACACAGGATCTTCAGTCCAGAGTAACGGACCCGAGCAGCTGGACCAGACTAGGACCAGACCAGGACTAGACCGGGACCGGACCAGGACCAGACCAGGACCAGGCCGGGATCAGGCCATAACTAGATCAGGACTAGATCAAAACTAGACCAGGACTAAATCAGGACTAGACCAGGACTAGACTAGGACCAGACTAGAACTAAACCAGGTTTAGACCAGGACTAGACCAGGACTAAACCCAACACCACTTTAAACGAGCCAATCCCAGCAGCACTGACAGGTCACATGACTCTGGAGTGAAGCCACGCCCACTTTCACAGGTAATGATCAGGTGTGTTGGTCGTCGTCTGGGCTGTGACGCTCACAGGAGGCACTGCTCTGTCTGACCAGAAAGACCTGATGTGAACTTCAACAGGGTCTCCTGTACCTGATGAACATTCTACCATAGACCTGCATGTAGAACGCCCACAGGACTAAACCAGGACTAAACCAGGACTAAGCAGGTCCAGGATGGGCTCTGGTCTGTGTAAGAAGAAGTCGGTCTCAGAGCCAGAGGAGGAGCCGGCCCCGAAGCGCAGTCTGGTCCTAAACCTGACCCGGAGAGGACTCAAGGTAAGACCGGGTCTGGGTCTGGGTCTGGGTCCTGAGTGTGACGTCACCACAGGGTCCAACTCCAAATGAAGCTCATGGAGGCCAGCAGGTTCAGCGGCTCATCTTCTGCCTGATCCTCAGTGTGACTGTGTGAGGTCCTGGTGTGAGGTCCTGTGTGTGAGGTCCTGGTGTGAGGTCCTGTGTGAAGTCCTGTGTGAGGTCCTGGTGTGAGGTCCTGGTGTGAGGTCCTGGTGTGAGGTCCTGGTGTGAGGTCCTGTGTGTGAGGTCCTGGTGTGAGGTCCTGTGTGTGAGGTCCTGGTGTGAGGTCCTGGTGTGAGGTCCTGTGTGTGAGGTCCTGGTGTGAGGTCCTGTGTGTGAGGTCCTGGTGTGAGGTCCTGTGTGAGGTCCTGTGTGAGGTCCTGTGTGTGAGGTCCTGGTGTGAGGTCCTGGTGTGAAGTCCTGTGTGTGAGGTCCTGGTGTGAGGTCCTGGTGTGAGGTCCTGTGTGTGAGGTCCTGTGTGAGGTCCTGTGTGAGGTCAGGTCCTCTGTGTGAGGTCCTGTGTGAGGTCCTGTGTGAGGCCCTCTGTGTGAGGTCCTGGTGTGAGTGTGAGGTCCTCTGTGTGAGGTCCTGTGTGAGGTCCTGTGTGAGGTCCTTTGTTTGAGGTCCTGGTGTGAGGTCCTGGTGTGAGGTCCTGTGTGAGGTCCTGGTCTGACCCTGTGAGGTCCTGTGTCTGCAGGAGGTCCCTGCTGAGGTCTGGTCTCAGTCTGATCTGCAGAAGTTGAACTTGTCCCTGAACTGTCTCCAGTCTGTGTCTCCTCAAATCTGTGTCCTCAAGAACCTCCAGGTCCTCAACCTGTGGGACAACCAGGTCTGAACCAGGACTAGACCAGGACTAGACCAGGTCTGAACCAGGACTAGACCAGGACTAGACCAGGACTAGACCAGGACTAGAACCAGGACTAGACCAGGACTAGACCAGGTCTGAACCAGGACTAGACCAGGACTAGACCAGGACTGAACCAGGACTAGACCAGGACTAGACCAGGACTAGACCAGGACTAGACCAGGACAGGACCAGGACTAGACCAGGACTAGACCAGGACTAGACCAGGACTAGACCAGGACTAGACCAGGACTGAACCAGGACTAGACCAGGACTAGACCAGGACTGAACCAGGACTAGACCAGGACTAGACCAGGTCTGAACCAGGACAAGACCAGGACTAGACCAGGTCTGAACCAGGACTAGACCAGGACTAGACCAAGACTAGACCAGGTCTGAACCAGGACTAGATCAGGACTAGACCAGGACTGAACCAGGACTAGACCAGGACTAGACCAGGACTAGACCAGGACTGAACCAGGACTAGACCAGGACTAGACCAGGACTGAACCAGGACTAGACCAGGACTAGACCAGGTCTGAACCAGGACAAGACCAGGACTAGACCAGGTCTGAACCAGGACTAGACCAGGACTAGACCAAGACTATACCAGGACTAGACCAGGACTAGACCAGGATTAAATCTCAGTCCTCTTGTTCCTCAGGTGTGTTCCCTTCCCCCGCAGGTGGGGGCGCTGCAGAGACTCAGAGTTTTGTTTTTATCCAGAAACAAACTCACAGAGATTCCAGAAGAACTGGGCCAGTGTACACAACTACAGGTACAAGTACTACGAGTACTACGAGTACTACGAGTACTTTTACTGCTACTACTACTACCTAACTCTGGTCTACCCTGGGTCATGTTCCCGGGTCGTGTTCCCGGGTCATGTTCCCGGGTCGTGTTCCCGGATCATGTTCCCGGGTCGTGTTCCCGGGTCGTGTTTGTGTTCCAGGTCCTCAGTGTGTCTCAGAACCAGCTCAGGTCTTTGCCCTGGACTCTGTCCAACCTCCAGAACCTGAACAAACTGAACCTGAGCAGCAACAACTTCAGCCAGATCCCCACGTGTGTGTACAGCCTCAAGAGCCTGGTACACACTACCCCCGACACACTACACACACACACACACACACACTCCCCCACGTGTGTGTACAGCCTCAAGAGCCCTGGTACACACTACCCCCGACACACTACACACACACACACACACTCCCCACGTGTGTGTACAGCCTCAAGAGTGGTACACACACTACACACACACACACACACTCCCCACGTGTGTGTACAGCCTCAAGAGCCTGGTACACACTACCCCCGACACACTACACACACACACACACACACACTCCCACGTGTGTGTACAGCCTCAAGAGCCTGGTACACACTACCCCCGACACACTACACACACACACACACACACACTCCCCACGTGTGTGTACAGCCTCAAGAGCCTGGTACACACTACCCCCGACACACTACACACACACACACACACACACACACACACACGTCCCCACAGTGTGTACAGCCTCAAGAGCCTGGTACACACTACCCCCGACACACTACACACACACACACACACACTCCCCACGTGTGTGTACAGCCTCAAGAGCCTGGTACACACTACCCCCGACACACTACACACACACACACACACACTCCCCACGTGTGTGTACAGCCTCAAGAGCCTGGTACACACTACCCCCGACACACTACACACACACACACACACACACTCCCCACGTGTGTGTACAGTCTCAAGAGCCTGGTACACACTACCCCCGACACACTACACACACACACACACACTCCTCACGTGTGTGTACAGCCTCAAGAGCCTGGTACACACTACCCCCGACACACTACACACACACACACACACTCCCCACGTGTGTGTACAGCCTCAAGAGCCTGGTACACACTACCCCCGACACGGTACACACTACCCCCGACACACTACACACTACACACATACACACACACTCACTCTCTCTTCTCTGATTGGTCGTCTCTCCTCAGGTGCTCTTCTCTGATTGGTCGTCTCTCCTCAGGTGCTCTTCTCTGATTGGTCGTCTCTCCTCAGGTGCTCTTCTCTGATTGGTCGTCTCTCCTCAGGTGTTCTTGGACCTGGGCTGGAACCTTCTGGAGAACCTGGCGGAGAACATCCAGAACCTGTCGGAGCTCAGGACCCTGATCCTGGAAGGAAACCACCTGAGCAGCCTCAACAAAGCCCTGTGCAACCTGAGAAGGTCCCAGACCAGGACCAAGACCAGGACCAGGACCAGACCAGGACCAGACCAGGACCAGGACCAGGACCAGGACCAGGACCAGGACCAGGACCAGGACCAGGACCAGGGACCAGACCAGACCAGACCAGGACCAGGACCAGGACCAGGACCAGGACCAGGACCAGGACCAGGACCAGGACCGGACCAGGACCAGGACCAGGACCGGACCAGGACCGGACCAGGACCAGGACCGGACCAGGACCAGGACCGGACCAGGACCAGGACCAGGACTATAACAGATGTAAACCAGGACTAAGTCAGGTCTGTGTTTCAGTCTGGAGCTGCTGAACGTCGACTTCAACGACATCAAAGACGTTCCTCAGGTAAAAACATTTATCACTTTAACTGGACCTGGTTCTCCTCTGGTTCTTGTGGTCTGGACCCGGTTCTCCTCTGGTTCTTGTGGTCTGGACCCGGTTCTCCTCTGGTTCTGTGCAGGAGTTCCATCAGCTGACGGGGCTTCGTAGACTCGCCTGTCACCCTCTGGACTCAGGTCTCCACATCTTCCACAACCCTCTGCTGAAGCCCACCAAGGAGGTCCTGGAGGGAGGTCTGAGCGCCCTCTACAGCTACCTGAGGAACCCCGCCTAGACCAGGACCTGGACCCGGACCAGGACCAGGACCAGACTTCAGACCAGAGTCCAGAGCACAGACTGTCACAGGAGAGTCCAGCTCCAGGTGAAGCTCCAGGTGAAGCTCCAGGTGAAGCTCCAGGTGAAGCTCCTGGAGGTTCTGCAGGTGCAGCGGTGAATCTGGAGCCATGTCCATATTAGTCCGGTTCCTTATCTACTTCTGTGGGAAGTTTTTGGGGATTTTCTAACTTCTATATTTTTATAAAAGTTTTAGTTTCTGGAGTCAGAAAATCAATGTTTACATTTGTCCACGTGTCTGTACGGCGGCCATATTGGATTTTGGAAAAAATGGCCGCCAAAAATCTCTTTTTGGAATATCTCAGCCTCTGAATAAGTTGAAATGTTGATTTTAGCTGCTAAACCCACATTTTCAGGGTCAGGGAATCAAATGGTGCTAGTTACAAAGCTGTAAAACCGACCCACATTAACCCTTAGATGAATAAGTGGGTCAAAAATGACCTGGTTTGGTTGTTTTCTTGCAATTTCATTGTGATATTTGCATATAATTCTCCACGTTCCTCTAAAAACATGTTTTTTTACTTCAATACTTCAACAATATGGGTAAAACAAACTATAAACATCACATGCAGCTGGTCAGAAAACTCAAAGAGTTTAAAAGTCGCTCACATCAAATGTGGATGTTGGATGTAAACAAACACATTTAGACACAATATGATGATGCAACTTTTTTATGAGACATTTTCTATACATCATCATCATCATCATCACTTTCATACAACCACAGACTGTATATATGTACACAGACTGTATATATGTACACAGACTGTATATATGTACACAGACTGTATATATGTACACAGACTGTATATATGTATATAGACTGTATATATGTACACAGACTGTATATATGTACATAGACTGTATATATGTACATCGACTGTATATATGTACATAGACTGTATATATGTACACAGACTGTATATATGTACACAGACTGTATATATGTACACAGACTGTATATATGTACACAGACTGTATATATGTACACAGACTGTATATATGTACACAGACTGTATATATGTACATAGACTGTATATATGTACATAGACTGTATATATGTACATAGACTGTATATATGTACATAGACTGTATATATGTACATGTAATATGTACACAGACTGTATATATGTACACAGACTGTATATGTACATGTATATATGTACACAGACTGTATATATGTACACAGACTGTATATATGTACACAGACTGTATATATGTACACAGACTGTATATATGTACAGACTGTATATATGTACATAGACTGTATATATGTACACAGACTGTATATATGTACACAGACTGTATATATGTACACAGACTGTATATATGTACACAGACTGTATATATGTACATATATGTACACAGACTGTATATATGTACACAGACTGTATATATGTACACAGACTGTATATATGAGTGAACACATCTAACGCTGTAGCCCCGTGTGCCAAACAGGAAGTTCTCCAGGAGGCTCTTCTGGCTCCTTCTGACTCTGGCTCTGACTTACTTTAGGATCTTGTGGCTCGTCTCTCTGCACCTGCTGCTGTGAACCTCCACATTTTGGTGTTAAAATGTTTGTATGAACTCACTCTACATGATCCTGAATTTGTTTTTTTTTTGTTTTTTTTGCTAGTTTGTCTGTCAAAAAAATCCTATTCATAATACAGAGTCTGGCTCCAGATTTGCTCCTGTAACCGTGAACATCTCAAGCTTCATTTGAGCGACGCTGAACTCTGAGTCACACTCACTTACTCCACTTCTTTTATTCAGTCTGTGCAACAACACGGCTTCAGAATCATCATGGTTCTGACACTGGCTGCAGGATAAACCTGGAGTTTCTGCTGTGAACCGTGGACCTGGACCCTGGACCTTCACTAGGACCAATTTCTGAAGCAAATCGCACTTATTTCATATATTTGTTTAATAAACATTACTGTGCAACAAAACTTTAAAAATAAAAACTTTATAAAAATATAGAAGTTAGAAAATCCCCAAATACTTCCCACAAAAGTATATAAGGAACCGGACTATATTTGTAAATCTGTTTTGTTTTAGTTTTTTGTTGTTGTTTGTTGGTGGTGAAGGGGCGGAGCCTCGTACACAAACTCAAATCAGACCAACGACGACGAGAAGAAGAAGTGGAAATAAAATATTTAAAAAACACTTTTATTTTGGTGAAATTATGTTTAAAGTCTCACAAACTAAACCAGGACTAAACCAGGACTAAATCAGGACTAAACCAGGACTAAACCAGGACTAAACCAGGACTAAACCAGGTCTAAACCAGGACTAAACCAGAACTAAACCAGAACTAAACCAGGACTAAACCAGGTCTAAACCAGAACTAAACCAGAACTAAACCAGGTCTAAACCAGAACTAAACCAGGTCTAAACCAGGACTAAACCAGGACTAAATCAGGACTAAACCAGGACTAAACCAGGACTAAACCAGGACTAAACCAGGTCTAAACCAGGACTAAACCAGAACTAAACCAGAACTAAACCAGAACTAAACCAGGACTAAACCAGGACTAAACCAGAACTAAACCAGGACTAAAACCAGGACTAAACCAGAACTAAACCAGGACTAAACCAGGACTAAACCAGGACTAAACCAGGACTAAACCAGGTCTGGTCTTGTGTCGTTTGTGTAAAATTGACTTTAATTGAAATGTGACTTTTCCCTGAACCCTCCTGAGGAAAGGAAACGAGGAGCTAGGAGAGAGGAGCTAGGAGAGAGGAGCTAGGAGGGAGGAGCTAGGAGGGAGGAGATGAGGATTCTTCACTGTTTCTGCCAACGTGCACGAGCGTGTGCACGAGCGTGTGCACGAGCGTGTGCACGAGCGTGTGCACGAGCGTGTGCACGAGCGTGTGCACGAGGGAGAGGGTCCAACATCGATCTGAGACCAAGATGACATCACTGAACCAGGACTAGACCAGGACTAGACCTGGACTGGACCAGGACTAGACCTGGACTGAACCAGGACTAGACCAGGACTGACTGGACTGAACCAGGACTGGACTAGACTGGACTGAACAGGACTAGACCAGGACTAGACCAGGACTGAGACTGACAGGACTGACCAGGACTGAGGACTAGACCTGGACTAGACTGGACTGAGACCAGGACTAGACCAGACTAGACCAGGACTGAACCAGACTAGACCAGGACTAGACCAGGACTAGACCAGGACCAGGACTGACAGACTGAACAGACCTGACTAGACTGACTGAACCAGGACTAGACCAGGACTAGACCAGGACTAGACTAGACCAGACTAGACCAGGACTGAAGGACTGAACCAGGACTAGACCTGGACTGAACCAGGACTGAACCAGGACTAGACCAGGACTAGACCAGGACTAGACCTGGACTGAACCAGGACTAGACCAGGACTAGACCTGGACTGAACCAGGACTAGACCAGGACTAGACCAGGACTGAACCAGGACTAGACCAGGACTAGACCAGGACTGAACCAGGACTGAACCAGGACTAGACCAGGACTAGACCAGGACTGAACCAGGACTAGACCAGGACTAGACCAGGACTAGACCTGGACTGAACCAGGACTAGACCAGGACTAGACCAGGACTAGACCAGGACTGAACCTGGACTGAACCAGGACTAGACCAGGACTAGACCAGGACTGAACCAGGACTAGACCAGGACTAGACCTGGACTAGACCAGGACTAGACCAGGACTAAACCAGGACTAGACCTGGACTAGACCTGGACTGAACCAGGACTAGACAGGACTGACTAGACCACTGAACCAGGACTAGACCAGGACTAGACCAGGACTGAACCAGGACTAGACCTGGACTAGACCTGGACTGAACCAGGACTAGACCAGGACTAGACCAGGACTGAACCAGGACTAGACCAGGACTAGACCAGGACTGAACAGGACTGACTGGACTAGACCTGGACTGAACCAGACTAGACCAGGACTGACTAGGACTGACCTGGACTGAACCAGGACTAGACCTAGACTAGACCTGGACTGAACCAGGACTAGACCAGGACTAGACCAGAACTAGACCTGGACTGAACCAGGACTAGACCAGGACTAGACCTGGACTGAACCAGGACTAGACCAGGACTAGGTTCAGTCCTGGTGGGGGGAGGTCGTGTGTTAAAGTGATGGGGGGGGGGGGCTGTCACTTTTATTGATCTGTGATTGTAACACCCCCAGACCAGACTGGTCTTGGTCTTGGTCTGGTCTGGTCTTGGTCTGGTCCTGGTCTTGGTCTTGGTCCTGGTCTTGGTCCTGGTCTTGGTCCTGGTCTTGGTCTTGGTCCTGGTCTTGATCCTGGTCCTGGTCTCGGTCTTGGTCCCGGTCCCGGTCCTGGTCTTGGTCTGGGTCCTGGTCCTGGTCCTGGTCTTGGTCTTGGTCCTGGTCTTGTCGATGTTTGAATCAGAGTCTTTGAGGATTTGTCACGTCTGAACACAAACGTCAATAAAACACAAAATTATTATAATAACAAACCAGGACTAAACCAGGTCTAAACCAGGACTAAACCAGGTCTAAACCAGGACTAAACCAGGTCTAAACCAGGACTTAAACCAGGTCTAAACCAGTAAACCAGGACTAAACCAGGTCTAAACCAGGTAAACTAAACCAGGACTAAACCAGGACTAAACCAGGACTAAACCAGGTCTAAACCAGGTCTAAACCAGGTCTAAACCAGGTCTAAACCAGGTCTAAACCAGGACTAAACCAGGTCTAAACCAGGACTAAACCAGGTCTAAACCAGGTCTAAACCTAAGGTCCTAAACCAGGTCTAAACCAGGACTAAACCAGGACTAAACCAGGTCTACTAAACCAGGTCTAAACCAGGACTAAACCAGGTCTAAACCAGGTCTAAACCAGGACTAAACCAGGTAAACTAAACCAGGTCTAAACCAGGTCTAAACCAGGTCTAAACCAGGTCTAAACCAGGATAAACT